TAATTTACAGTTGCAGATTTTCAGTTTAAGATTACTTTCCCTGCTCCACCCAGTAACTGAGGTTCCAGTGGGTAGATTCCCTCACCCTCTTCTATTTAGTAGAGTTAACCTCTTGTTCACCAGTGATGACATAGGTCTTGGGTGGTTCGGGCTTACTTTCTGTCACTGCATGCCCTAAGCACTCATAGCAATGCCCCAGGTCTCCAGGATTCAGTCAAAACCTCAAGATGCAAACCAGCTTTGGCTTTCATCTCCTAGGGTTTCTGCTCTGGCTAAAGTATGTAGATGTGTGGCTTCACGGCGATGAGTGATCTGTTCTCAGTTTCGAAGATCATTCAGACTACTGAATTCTGCATACTGCTAAATATACAAGTTTTTTATTTCTTTTAATCATTTAAGTATAGCAACTTTATATTATATAAAAGACCCTTAAGTCTTAAAGAGATTAATTATGTTTTTATTCTTTTCCTTTGCTGTTTATCACTCATCATAGATGTAATTTTGGACTATGAGTTCATATTTGGCATACTTTAATCTGTGAGAACCCTAAGACACCAGATTTGAGAGTGGCTTTCTCTGTAGAACTTCAATGCTTGCTCCTGTCAGGCATCCTTGGGAGCTGTAAATGCAGACCATTTTAATCCATCAGGTTGGGGTTTCCAGATAACACAGGTAAGATAAACTGAAAGCACAACTTGTGTGAGAAGGAAGTTTAGTTACAAATTAGGGAAGACTGGTTTTTGCTTTGCCTGGGACAGAGTCAAGAAAGAGATCATGTCAGTTTGAAGATAAAAAGGTTTCTTTTCCCCCAAACCCATCTTTTCATGGATATATAGCAGTTAATACTTGTCTTAGTGATAACTCTTTAACTCCCACTGAGGTGATTACATGAGAAACCTGAGCACCCTTAAAATCAGTTTCTGGAAGTCTAGGGCCTCTGTTGTGTTGTACTCAGATATGGATATAAAACTATCCATGGCATGGTTAGATAGCATCACCAACTCCATGGACAAGAATCTGAGCAAGCTCCAGAAGACACAGGACAGGGAAAGCTGGCGTGTTACAGTTCATGAGGTTGCAAAAAGTCGGACATGACTTAGCAACTTAACAATAACAACAAGAAGTATATTTCCTTTATTGGAAGAGGTTTAGTTTTAGTAAGTATATTAGTTTGGCAATATTACTAAAAATGCCTGCATATGTTTTAAAGAGATAATATAAAATACTCTATGGTCTTTAGGAAAAATAAAGTCTAGTCAATAAACATAACAAACAGTAAAAATATACTTCAGTTTTATACCATGACCTGTTAATGACATATTCATTCATATTGTGTTTTGACAAAGACAGAAGATGTGGGGGGAAAAAAAAAGCCAGGAAAAGTGAAAGATATGGAAAGGGGATATTAGGGGGGGAAATTCTGGAAGGAGAGACAAGAGAGGCATTTAGAGAATGCATAATCTAGAGAAAAGCAGATCCATAGGAAAACAGAGGCCTGTAGGAGGAGTGCAGCCTTTGACTTACGTGGAGGGAAAGATCAAAGAACACCTGTACATCGTGGCCTGCTAATGGTGCTGCCGAAAACTGCTTCCAGTCACACTGCCCTTCTTTTAGAAAAGCCCTCAGAGCAGGAAATGAAACCGGTGTACTGGTTTAACTTGGAAGCATGGTTCTCCCACGTTCAATTTAGCCGAAGACAGCTAAAAATCATTCGACAGCCTCCCATCACTCGGGTCTCTGTGCTCCTGCCCGAGCTCCACGTGGAGATGTGAGAATGCAAAGGCCTCCACGGAAATCTCACTCTCGAGCTGGGGAGCTCCAGGCCCACGAACTGCTTCACACTCACTGGCTGGGGCACACCGCACTCGACTGCACACCCACGTGGCGTTTATGAAAGAAAGATGGAAAGCTGAGCACTCTAAGTGTCCCTCTACACAGATAACTTTCATCATATGTTTTAAAGATAAAAGAAGTTTAACACTTTTATTTCTATATATAGGCACATTTTTTCATTGTGCAAAAAGACTAATCACTTAAAATTGCTTGGATAAATATACAGCAATACCAAATGTCTTATTTCCCAGTAAAATGGAACTAAAATCTAAGTTTCTTTCCCTAAAGAGCAGACAGCACTGCAGAGTCTTTTTTTAATCATGTAATCTTAATGAAAATCACCAACGTTAAGCATGGCCCTTGACCATCTAATAACATATGATAACTTATTCTCTGAAACCATCAGCAAGTCATCAGTATCCACAGGTCACTGAAGTTTGTTTTAAGTACTTTAACTTTTCATTTTAAGTTATCTGGGGAAAAAATATGAATAATACATTTCCTGAACCCAGCAATTAAAAAAAAAAAAAAGCAAGCAATGAGAAGATGCGATCGTTCACTTTCTTCCTAAGCTGAGTATCTGCAGGGGCCTCTGTGCCTGCTGGGGATGTGCCAGTCCACAGATGCTAAGTCCCACAGCTGCCTCCACATCCGCTGATCAGATGAGTGCAGACCGCGCAGAACTGCATGCTTGCTGAAAACAACCCGCCTACAAGTGGACCCACATGCTGCAAACCCATGCTGTTCAGGGGTCAGTGGTGACTGATTATAAACTCTCTCACAAATGGCATAACAGATAATATCAATGTTTTCTTCTTCCAAATCCTCCAAGTCACTGAACATAACACACTGAAAGATAACCTGGAAATAAACTTTGTCCAAAAGTTGAGCTTTGAATTCTTCACAAAAAACATTTTTTGATTAGTCATAAATATCAGGAAAGCTACTTCATGTGTGCAATAAGGAACCCCCCAGAGAATATTCATTTTTCTCAATCACTATTACAAGGGAGTCACCAGACTTCAAATGTATAGTCTGAATTTTGAATTCAGAGCTTCCAACTACCAATTTAAATTTCTGCCTCCTGCTGCAAGTATCTAGTGCTTGTCCTAAGAGCTACCGAAACAGAGAGTAATATACTCAATGCACATATTAACAAATTTTCAAAAGACTCAAAATGATACTAAAAATTCAGACAGGAAACTCTTGACAAGATGCTAAATGATGTTCGCTGTGTATGGAGCTTTTCTAAGCAGCCTGCTAAAATTCACAGCTGAAAGAGACAGAAATGACAGCTGAAAGGGCTCCCATGGCCTCTATTTTCCATCTCATCATCACACAAGGCTGGAGGCTCTGACCAGCCAGCGCTGTGCCAGCCAGGATGGCCCTGGGACCAAGGCCGAAGCACATGGAATTCTGGCTAATTCTGAATTCTGTACGATAAAGGGCCCACAGATCATCCTCCACTTTCCTACCAGGAGGAGGACCGGAAAGAGACTTCTTGTCCTCAGGATTCAGCACAATAATTGAGCAAGCAACCCTCTGACCTTACCCTGGACAGGTAAAAGAAAACTGAAGGGTAAAAAAAAAGTGTAAAATCTCCACTGCTGGGCGGAATAACAGGCTGACTTCCATTCTCTCCTAGAGGGATATGAAGCCAACCAGGACGCCCTGCAAACACTGTGGAAATGCCCACATCCAGTCTCTGACTTTGCGTCTCATCTGCGTTGCTGCTGTACCCTACTCTACTCCCTGTCCATCCAGGCTGAGGAAACACTTAAGAGCCTTTCTTAGAGAAGGAGAATTATAAAATGACTCGTTTCAACTAAAAAATGTAAGAAAATCACATCTAGCCTCAGTCTTCTATCACAAATGGCGGCCTTAGCGTGCCACAGGCCTTTTGTCCATTTTTCATTTTGGAAACTTCTCATTTCAAAAGCTTATCCAACTCCAAGAACCGTCAGTGGAGCTTGTCGAAAATTCAGGTTCCTTGCTTGTTCCAAACTTCATCAGAATTTTCAAAGGGCAGCACCTAGGACTCTGCTATTGTAAGCAAGATTCCAGAATTTTATGATGAGATAAAACTGAAGAACATTGATCTTGAGACTATATGTCTTTTAAAAATTTCATTCCAATTTTTCCTTTGTGAGTTTCTTAGAAACTAGTGTATGAATTAAAAGCACTGTGAGCTGCACATCTCGAGATAAAACCCAGTCTACTCTGCTGGCTGGCCTTTAGAGGAGCTAACTGTAATGCAGGAACTTAATCTAGCAGTTCCTAATTGTTAAACCAATATCCTGAGGGTTGCTGAGTCTAAGCCCTTACCTTACGTAAATGAGGCAATCTGTATCTCAATTATCTGAAACATCATGCTTACTATCTAGAGACTTTGCAAAGCTGATCGTGTCTATCAGGTGCTACTCAAAGACCTGTACTGAGAGGAAGAGCTCTGTCTAAAATTCAAAGGAGTCAAACATCAGAAAGAGCCTCTTGAGATCAACAGAAAGAGAAAACCAAGTGGATGTGGAGATGTGTAATTCTTCCACCAGTTATGCTCCTGTGTGTCCCAGAGAACACAGCACAGAGAAGGCATTTAACCCAGGTTGCTGAGTGGATGAATGAAGAGTACATGAATGAATGGGGCTGGCGTCAGTGAGACAAACAGAAACAGTATCATATAATTCAGTAGCTTCAGGAGAGAAAAAGAATTTTTTTTAAACGTCTAGAAATTACCTGCTAAAAAACTTTTACCAGCCTTTAACCAGCATTGCCAATTGACACTGAAACGTATGTTTACAAGAGGAAGGAGAGGTCAATCCTGAAAGGCCCACAAAAGCACAAAGTGGAGAGGAGGAACCACGTGGAGGTGGTGCTTCAGGAGCGACAAAACCTGAGAGGAGTCACCTCCGAGGGCAGGGATGCGCCGCCCAGCGTGGGCTCAGAGTGACACGCTGTGGATAGCACACTGGAGCCCAGATCCACAAGCACAACGACTGAACGGGGAAGGAGGGGAGCGCTCAGGTCGAGGGAAGGCAAGACCCAGTGGAGACAGGAGGAGGAGCGTGGCAGGAAGCACGTGCAACGTGTCATGCAGGGACCCCAGGGAGGGCGCGGGCGCCAGGCAACACGCGTGGGGACACACCTCGTCACAGAGACAAACCGCTTACCCTCCGCTTTAGTGGCAGTACCATCTTTAAGCAAATTAAAAAAACAAGGGAAGGGATAACAGGGAACAGTTAGTAACATCAAAAAAATTAAAAAGCAGAATGTTATTATTAGCTACCAAAAAAGCAAAAGTACAATTTAAAATAAAATTAAAAGGGAAACAAGTTCAACAGCAAAGCACAGTCTGAAGCAAGTCAGTGCACCTTCTACTGAAACCAGCTTAGGAGAACGTGCTTTTTGCCTCCAGAAAACACCACACGAAAGGATAACCCAGGGTCAGGCCTTGGCTGAGGGACTGTGTTTTTGATTTGGCCAGCCTCATCCTCCTTGGGCTTCCTGGTGGTTCAGCTGGTAAAGAATCCGCCTGCAATGTGGAAGACCTGGGTTCGATCCCTGGGTTGGGAAAATCCCCTGGAGAAGGGAAAGGCTACCCACTCCAATATTCTGGCCTGGAGAATTCCATGGACTTTACAGTCCATGGGGTTGCAAAGAGTTGGACACAACTGAGCAACTTTCAGTTTCATTTTCTCTCATCCTCTGAAGAGTCCCTTTTTCTTGGAACCAAGTATTGTACTAGCAGGATAACGGGGGGAACTACAGACATCTTGAGGGCAGAGGCAGTGAGTCAGCAGCCCCGGAAGCTGGCAGAGCAGCACCCAGCCCAGCCACACATCCAGCTCGGTACCTGAGTCGAGGCCTAGGGGCTCCGTGTCTCCCCTCGTGTGTCTGGACTCTAGAAGTTGGGAAAAGGACCATCAGCTTTAACACTACACTCCTGCACAGACGTGGCGTGTCCACCTCAGTAGGACCTGTAACAGCTTCTCAGCAGGACTGTGTTAAACTGGGGGGCTGATTTTGCTTGGTTTTTACAGATCTGGACATCAGGAAAGCTGAGGTCAAGCTCTCAGGCGATAGAGAGTAGGGAATACTCCAGTCTCATCATCTGAAAAGGTAACACTGGGCTGAACGTTCATCATCAGCACTTCTAAAGGGTCAGTTCTGTGTCATCAGACCAGAAGACCCGAGCGCTTTCATAAGCACCAAGTGGAGCCCACAGGGCCAAGTTAAAACAGCTTTAGTACGCACAGAAAAACAAGGACTACTGTGACTTAACTCAAGTTTTCAAACAATGAAGCAAATACTAACTAAAGATCCTCAAGGTGGATCAAACAGAACTAAAACGAACAGAAAGCCTTCACACAGGACAGACTTCTGAGTTCTCTCTTGCTCAGTGATCACACATCAACACAAGAGCCTAAACACACCTACGTGATGGTGAAACAGTTAAATAAACAACATAAAAGGAGAGCTCTTACTGGCTATGTTCCCAATCTCAGGAAGACACTTCTGCAGAGAAGACGAGACTGCTCTCACAGCATCCCAGACTATAAACCTGACCTTCTAAACTAACCATGCTCCCCTCATAGCCAGTTTCCTTCGTCTTATAGGAAGACAGTTTACAAAAGACTTCTATATAATTTCATTTGTCACTACCACATGTTACCAGGTGGCTGTAATTTAATAGCCGTAGCTAATTTACGGGTGGAGGAAACAGACCCAAAAGCTGCTTGGCTTGGTCAGGCTCACCAGCTTCTGCTCCATGTTCTCCCATCTGCTCCCATGGTCTCAGGTATCAGTTGTGGAACTGACTTTGGGATTAGTTTGTAAACCACAGGAGCAGTTAAGTCTCGATGTTTCATGAAGTTTAAATCACACTAATTTCCTTAAAATCCAAAATAAAACGAATCCTGCTAAGTCTCTAGACTTTGGCTTTGAACAACTCTGCTTTAACAAAAATAAACTGAAATAAACTATAAGCCTTACAACAGGTGTCCAGTCCACCATGCTATCAGACACTAATTCTTCTGAAAGTAATTTTTGAAATCTTCTGCGCCATCATTAGTCTGTGCACGCTCCTCCCAAGGTGACACAGGGGGACCGACAACACCCTTCCATGGGATCGGCCACGCTGCTCAGGAGTCCTCCTGCTCGCTGCTCAGGGAGGCCTCCTGCTCGCTGCTCAGGGAGGCCTCCTGCTCGCTGCTCAGGGAGGCCTCCTGCCCCTCTGGGGCTCCCTGCTACCCGCTCCCTGTGCCCACTCCAGGCAAAGCCTCCCGGACAGTCAGGCTCTGCACCCCATCCCAGGACAGGAGGGGAGGAAACCCAGCTCTGGCCACAGGGAGGAGGCTGGGAGGCTGGGAGGCGCATATGGCACAGAGGGACGCGCCACGGGTGCCCCAGCAGAGAGGACACTCACCCGAGAGTGTAAACCAGCAGTCAGCACACAGGGTCACTTAACTCTGAACATTAGCCCTGCAACCGTGAGGCCTGCCTCAGTTAGTTTCTGGTCATTTGCTCTGTAAATCAATCTAATCTGAGGTTAAGTGTCATCTCGAACGGCAGACCTGTGGGGAAGGGTCTCGGGGGTCTGGTTACCTAAGGACGCATACGAGCCCGGAGGTAAGGCCGCGGCCGAGCTGAAGGGCGCTGCGCCGGCAGCCGAGGAGATCTTGGATTTGGCGCTGGCGGCTGCGTTCACGTCGATGTCGCTTCGAGACCGCTGCAGGGACCCTGCGGTGGATGCGGACTTGGTGCTGACCGTGGAAGCTGCAGGGGGAGGAGTGAGCTTTAGCAAGGACTGAGGGCTGCTACTAGACCTTCAAGCACACAGGGCTCAGTGTGTCCTGCTTCTCCTAAGTTTTCCCCAAGGCTGGAGTACAGAGCACTGTCCAACAGCAGCTCCTGGTCACTCGGCCGAGCTCAGCTGGTGCTGAAGGGAACGACAAGTGACCACAACTCCACACACTTCGTAACCAAAACCATAAACCCCACAGGAATGGACCACAGTTCTGATCCACAAGAGCAATGAGACAATGAAAACTCACTTGCATCTGGCCAGTGTCCTCCTGAGGGGGTGTGAAGGCGCCCTCCCACCCACCGCACACACCAGCCCCAGCTCCGTTTCAGGGAACATCCCTGTCCCCACTCCCAGAAGATGCCAGGTCCTGTGTGCCTGCAGCATCCCAGCCAGTGCTCAGAGCCCAGAAGTGTCTCTCTCTCTCTCACACTCACACACGCACGCCCCATAACAGCACCGGGTGGTTGCAGCATCCCAGCCAGTGCTCAGAGCCCAGAAGTCTCTCTCTCTCTCTCACACTCACACACGCACGCCCCATAACAGCACTGGGTGGTTGCAGCATCCCAGCCAGTGCTCAGAGCCCAGAAGTCTCTCTCTCTCTCTCACACTCACACACGCACGCCCCATAACAGCACTGGGTGGTTGCAGCATCCCAGCCAGTGCTCAGAGCCCAGAAGTGTCTCTCTCTCTCTCACACTCACACACGCGCGCCCCATAACAGCACTGGGTGGTTGCAGCATCCCAGCCAGTGCTCAGAGCCCAGAAGTCTCTCTCTCTCTCTCACACACACACACACACGGCCCATGACAGCACTGGGTGGTTGCAGCATCCCAGCCAGTGCTCAGAGCCCAGAAGTATCTCTCTCTCTCACACACACACACACACACACGCCCCATGGCAGCACCAAGTACAGCGGGTGGGGGGTGAGACGGACAGGGCTGCCTGCCCGAGTCACCCTGACAAGCTGTCTTTGCTCTGCTGGGAACATGGGAGCGTGAAACAGGGCAGACCCTCCGCAGACCTGGCAGCAGTAGCTGGCGTCCCACCACCGCTCAGCCCACCCCAGGCTCAGACAAGGAAGCCTTCTCCACGGTGCCCACCTCACCTCTGGAGGTGGTACTGCCAGTAGGACTTCTTTTGGCAGAGAGCGGCCGACTGAAAATAAAGGAACACATCTATAATCAAAAGTGCATTGTATCTGCATTAATACAAGTAAAATACACAATGGAAAATTATGATCACAAAGAATTATTTCAGACTTCTCAGAATTCTACAGGTAATCTGGACCACAATCTTAAAAATTCCCAATTTCAGAAAAGCTTTACTACCGTGCTTTGGACTACCTTTCAAACACATGGCAAGAAGTCTTATTAAAGAGAAATAAAGAATGAAGACGGTAGCAGATTCAGTCCCAGGGTCTGAATGCCCTCCCTTTCCAAAGCTGCCTCCAAGTTAACCCTATATTCTCTAGAAGACACTTGGCGCAATCTGCTTCTGCTTGTGTTACTCCAGAACTGTGCCAGGACTGACACGCACGTTTCACTACGAACCGCCTGTGGCAGGGACCAGGGACCCAGGACCACGGGCCAGGCCACCTGTTTCTTACGACGCCCCACAGCATCTTCCCCAGCACTAGGCTCCATCTGAGTTAAGGGGGAAATGATAACAGGCACACATGCATTCAAGAGGACGAGGTGCTGGCCCATGTGCTCAGGCAGCCAACTTCTCACCGTGAACCCCCCACACAGGCGAAAGCACGGCAGCGGCGCTTACTTGAGGCTCTCCTGGGAGCTGGAGGATGAGCGGTCCGACTGCGGCAGCGACACCACGCTGTCCGAGCTCTTGAGGTGGGTCTGCAGGGCCTTCTGGTAGGAGGACTCCAGCGTGTGGTACAGGTGCTCTGCCTCCCTGCTGAAGTGACTGTGGAAACCCCAGTAACACCTGGAAAACACGGGCTTCCTGTCCCCAGCCGCAGGGCACACAGGCATGCAGCCCAGGACACCGGCAGGGGCGGACCTCAGCTCCGGGGGCCAGCAGCCGCGGCGGCGCAAGGGAGCGAGTGGAGCGAGGAGGGCTGCTGTGACTCCTCACCCACAGCCGACTGGCTCGGGGACTCCAGGCGAGCTACTCCACCTGTCTGACCCTCGGCCTCATTAAGAACATGGACATCAGAGAGCCCAACCTGCAAGACTGGGGAGACTAGGGAAGACAGAGCTAAAACATCTAGGATTACCCCTAGAATGTGAGGGGCTGGTTCGTGGAAGCAAAACGCATGTGACACTGGCTCAAAGTATTTAAAACGGCTTTAGGTAGCATATAGAATAGAAAAACAGGACGACGCTCACAACCACTTGAAAGGTATACTGTGTTATTTTTAAAAAACTAGAAAAAAATGGGGGGGGAGCACAAAATGTAAAATAAGCACAAAAAGAGCACAAGTAGATCATTAACAAATCCATTCCTGATTGAGTCACTCGTTCGGGTAGGAACACAGAGAAAAACAGCCCCAAAGCAACACGGGAACTGTGTATCTTTGTGCTGTCTGAGAGACATCTGAGCATCAGACTTAAAACTGCTATTCACAGTCAGGATGGCGTGGTGACCCCCAGAGAGGCAGGGGGTGTGGAGGCCACACGCTCTCGGCCGCATCACAGACAGTCCCAGTGGTACGATGACTCCAAATGTGAGCAGGACAGTGAGCTGCAGCCTGCGGTCAGCCCGAGCCACCCTCATCCACTTCCCAGGCGCCCACCTGACCCTGGCAGAGACGCAGAGACGTGGTCCCCGGGTAAGAATCCCCGTGATAGGGAGTCTTCACAGTAAATCAACAAGCCGCTGGGGACTGACAGGGCTGGGTGAGCAAGAGAAGACACGGGACACGCAGACAAGTGCCTTTCTGGCTCATGGGATAATTTCGCATAAATTTTAAAATGAGCTTTTTATACTGTCCACGTCAGTCCCATTTATGTTCAAATAGTGCCAATCAGGCTTTCAGGCCTGGGCACTCCACAACCTTTGAAACAAAAAATTACAGAAATATTTTGAAATGGTCTTTTGGGTCACATTAACAAAGTTATGATTAACAAGCCATGTTCATGTGACTTAATGAACTTTTATAAGGCAATCTAGACAGTGAACCTGAAATAGAAAAGCAATGACTTAAGAAAGTGGTGTTCACCAAACACTTACTTTCTGGCTTCTATCCTTGCTTCTGAATCCGCATCATGTATTCCCTTCTTTATCGTTTCAGCTAATACTGATATGTGTCTGTATAGTTAGAAATTAAAGCAGTACATCATTAATACAGTCTTATGTAGATAAAAACAGGTGTGAGAAATAACTTCAAAATGGCAACATGGAAGGTAGAACCTTTGTGCCCACAGAGTTGACAAACACGCAGCCTAGAAAACCAGCACATTTGCTAATTAATTTCTGATTCTGTCCTACCCCTTCCCCATGAACAGACACACATAACTCTTCTCTCCTGGGATTCTTTTCTTTTAGTGATAACTGGTATTTTTCAGGCCATACTTACTTAGCTCAATCTTTTATGAACTCAAACAAACAAATAAATAAAAATCCTACTTTTCCATGGTCATAATAGGTTTCTATGGGCATTATAATGAGATAATAATAACACTTAAAACACTTAACACTGAAAAGGCTTTCTGCATCACATCTCTATAATTAAAGAATGTTTTTCTACTATATGATATGAACTGTTTTATGAAATGATGTAAACATTTCATATACAAGTGTTCTTTTCAGTTAGGTTCTACCCTAGCTAAGAAGATACCATTAAAACTCTCTCATTGAATACTTAATGGTTTGAAGAAAAAGGCCAATAACTGAATAATTTCACAGGACAAATAGCAGGTACCCATTTTACCAGCATTAGACTCTGCCTCATCCTCTCACTCCTTCAGTAAATCCCTGGTGAGAACCTGCCCAGTGCCAAAGCTAAGCCAGGAAGCGAGCAAACACTGGAAGCCACAGCTGAGTGAATCCTCATTTTCTGTCCTGCTCACCTGTCCCCACGTTCAATCCCTCATTCCATCTTCCCCTCTAAGTCCCAATACTATCACCAGATCAAGAGGGTATAATACCCAAGAGATCAAAGAACAACAAAACACTTTTGAAATTCGTGACTACCTTCTAGATCCAAAGTGAGGCCTGCAGGAGTGAACTGGACTCCAGGAGAGCTCTACATGTTCAAGTCCACTACTCACAACACGTCTGCTGCTGCTGCTAAGTCACTTCAGTCGTGTCCGACTCTGTGTGACCCCATAGACGGCAGCCCACCAGGCTCCTCTGTCCCTGGGATTCTCCAGGCAAGAACACTGGAGTGGGTTGCCATTTCCTCCTCCCATAACATGTCTAAGATGCTGTGAAGTTCTTCACGACTGTGCAACACACCACTAAACACTGAGTGGCACAGGATCATTGTCTGTCATCTCCAAACTTAACTCAGAAAAAATAACAGGCACATAAAATTGACAGGAACTAAAAATGGTTTGTCAAAATAAAGACAAGCTTCTTTATGAATTCTGGGGTAATCCTACATTTTATCACGAGGATCTGAAACACACCAGCCTGAATAAAGAGAAAACTGCGGACTTTCTGATACAAACGGATCAAAAAGAGAACCTTTCAAATGAGTGAAATCCCTTTAAGGATTTTCAAGTTACCCCTCACCTACTAAGAGCAGCCATAAACATTTACCTGGCTGGAACCGACGGGATGTCAGGGGGCAGACCAGAGTCAACGCAGTGAGTCCTGGCTGTGCAATGTCCCGGGGCACCCTGTCCACAAGCCCAGGCTAACGTGACAGTCAGAGGGACTCACCAAGCGCCCCTGCCCGTGGCCTGTGCCTCACTGCAGGAGAAACACCACCAGCTCCCACGCAAACAAATGCCCTGATTCCTTCACTTCTCACACAGAGCGGGCTAGATCTCCAGCTGAGACACTGAACTCAAGATTCAATTCAAGCCACAGTCATCAAGACAGTATGGTACTGGCACAAAGACAGAAATATAGATCAATGGAACAGAATAGAAAGCCCAGAGATAAGTCCACGAACCTATGGTCACCTTATCTTCGACAAAGGAGGCAAGGATATACAATGGAAAAAAGATAACCTCTTTAACAAGTGGTGCTGGGAAAACTGGTCAACCACCT